GCATTTGAGCTGGTAAGTGAGTCAGGGTGTGAGCCCTGAACATAATGATTTCTAAAGCCCGAGAGCAGGAAGCTTGTTTGGAAAACCTTTGGAAAAGGGGTTTTATGTGGGAGGCCTGCGGATGGGGTCCCATAAAAGGGTTATTCATCATTGTCAGGATTCAGCAGTTAGCAACCGTTAGTGATTGACGGACTAAAGCGCCAAAAGAAGTAACTTGTTGCCGATGTATTAGTTGGAGCATCTATCTAGTGGTCTTCAGGATGTGAGTGTGGAGTCATTCACGCATTAGTGGATGTCGGTTTCACTGGGATTCAGGAAGTGATCATCTGGTTCTTAGAAGTGTGTGATGAGTCGGGTCTAGCTAGCAATGGAACACTAGTGGGAAAGAGTTGGTTGTCATCGGATAAATCGTTGGGAAGTGAGTAGGATTGAGAATCCTCCAATTTTCATGTATTATGAAGGATTAGTTGAATTTAAGTGGGGGAGTGTTACCCCAAGATGCTGAAGTGGGAGTTTACGACCGTAAACTCTAGGTTTACAGTCGTGAACTCCCTTAAGTGGTCCATTTGGAGCCTTAACCCTTTCCTATGCCCTAGATTTGAACCTAGCCTAATTCTACAAGTGATATAATACCTTTTAGCATCCAAGAGCACACCACCCATGAGTTTACGGCCATAAACTCATGGGGATATGGTCTTATGGTCGAAAACTCCATAAAGAGTTTACTCTTGAAGAGTAAACTCCCTAACTAGGCCATACACCACCTTATTTCAACCCTATAGCCTCCTAGCACTTGACCAAAGTGTTTTCCGCACACTAGGATGCTTATACGTGTTTAATTGGTATTATAATTACTAATTGTATGTAAACATATGTTATCATATGTTAATAGGTCATTAAGCGTGTTTAGGTCTTTACTTGACACCGAGCACCCAACCGACACCTCCATCCGATCCACTTACAACAGGTGAGTTCATACCCCTGAATTGACCTTTTTAAATGATTTTACTGGTTTTATAGGGGGGGATACAAGTTGAATTGTACAGTTATTAGATATATCTCAAGTGATTCATAACTGTATAGCAAAATAGATTTTGCATATTAAACTGTTTATCTAGCTTAAATGTTTCCAAATTAAGTTTTTCAACTCTTGATAAAGTATGAAAGGTTTTTCAAAGGATTCCAAAGATTTTCAAAACTTGTTTTTACTAACTGACATCAAGTCGTAAGTTTCTTATGTGTAAAGTTTTTCCAAAGTATTTTTCATAGTTTTCTTCTATGTTTCTATTTCGTTAAAATACATGCTTATATTTGTATAGTTATATAAATAATGTTTAAAAGACTTAGGAAGGCTAGTACGCCCTATTTCCTTTTCCTCGTTAAGATGTGGTCTGGTGGGTACCTGTATCCGTCCGAAGGTCGTTTAAACATTAGTTGTATATCATGTATACATGTATAAACATAAAGGTTTCTATCGAACAATTCACTTCCCTTGGGTAGCAAGGGCATTCTTCCATTCATCATTCATAGATCTTTTATTAAATGCATGTTTGTATTTGTATAGTTATATAAACAATGTTTGAAAGACTTAGGAAGGCTAGTTCGCCCTATTTCCTTTTCCTCGTTGGGATGTGGTCTGGTGGGTATCGGTTATCCGTCCGAAGGTCATTCAAACATTAGTTATATATTATGTATACATGTATAGACATAAAGGTTTCTATTGACTAGTTCATTTCCCTTGGGTAGCAAGGGCATCCTTCTAGTCACCGTTTATAGACCAGAGACACTAGTAACTATTATAGGAATAGTTAGGAGCCTCTATTTACTCTTTTTAGTACAAGAATTTCAAAGGAGTCCGTTCATTCGTGAGTCTCAATCATTAGTCCAGCACCTATATTAGAATTCAGAATACGAGATGCATCCTCTGGACACGGATTTCCCTGTTGTCAAGTTGGTAACTAGAGTCTCCTGTAGGCAGAGCGGGCATTGTGTGTATAGATCTATACGGGACTGACACTCCAGCACCCTGACTGCTAGCTATAGTCCCCGGCCGACCAAGCCAAGGGGTGACAAATATCATATTCATTCCGACGCTTGTAGGGCGTCAAGTTCTCTACTGTTATTCAGTATGGTTACGAGTATCTCTATGTTTACCTTATAATTCATGGCCTTAAGGTAACAAGATTTATCACTGTATTTCCTTGTTTTAGACTTTGCTAGCTGTGTCGTTCATTCGATACTGTCTGGAGTCTGTGCTTCCTTTTGTTAGACTGAGCCATGCGTATCATTCATTCGATATTCTCCCGGAGTCTATGATTTCTTTTGCCCTAAATCATCAGTATTACTGCTGAGGCATATGTTATTTTTCCCCTGGTATTTTTACTTGTGATTTCTCATTATTCCCTTAAAGTAAATACTGTTTTCTGAAAATGATAGTATTTTGGGAAAAATTTCTCTTTAAAACATAACTCTGTCAGGTCTTGGTAGAAGACTGCTTTTATTTAGAAAATATAGGATTTTCTGGAAAAAGACGCACATACACCGTAGATTCTAAACTACTACTTTTCATAAAGTTATTTTGAATAAAAATGCTTACTTACACAAATGACACTAAATACTTATAAACTCACCAACATTATAAAATGTTGATACTCGCTTTCAAAATAACTTGTATTCCCAAGTCATCAATAGACAGGTACACCCGGGAGCTTTTGCGAAGTCAACCTAGAACCAAGCTGCATCTATAGTAGTTTCTGTATTACTTTAATGTCTCTATGAAATGTAACTTATGTAAAACTATTACTATTAATGAAATGGTTGTTATACTTTGATTACTATACCGCATATGTTGTGATACTTGACATGACATCATCCACCCCAGAACGTTTCCGCCGTTCCGGTTTTGGGGTGTGACAGATAGATCCAAATAGACTGAAGGCTCGGTGCGGGTGGTCCAGTCATACTGTAGACTCAGAGAGTGGACCAGGTGGACTGAAGGCCTGTTGAGGGCGGACCAGTCACATTGCAGACTTGAGAGGCATGGTTGTTCTGTATTGTGATGTGATATGATATGATTATGGTTGTATGTGGTTGGTATTATGGGGGAAACTCACTAAGCATTCGAGCTTACAATTTCAGTTTATTGTTTCAGGTATATCAGGAGATCGTGGCAAGACAAAGGTGTGATTGTACCGCTCCTTATATTTCATGATTTTGTGATTTAGTTATGGGGATACTCTGATGTTTAAACTATTTTGAAAACAAGTTGTATAACTTAATGGTTTTGAATGGGTTAAAATGTTTTAAATTGGCTTGAATTTTATGGGTGTTACAAATTTCTTTTTATTTTTCATAAAAACGATTTAAAGTGTTACATATCACTTATGAAAGTGTAACTTTTGGTATATTCACCTTTTACAATGTGAGTTTTATGAAGAAAAGTCCAATTTTTTTGGGATAATTTTTTATAAAGTCTTAAAAGTTTTTTTTAACAGAAAAGTCTCATTATTGGGAAAATCACATAATTTGTAATTTCGTGTTAAAATATTAAAAAATGACTTTTTCGTTAATTTAGGTAAAATGTTAAATAATCGGGAATTTTCCATTCAAAAAAAACTTTTAGAACTTTATTAAAAAATTTCAAAAATAATGAGACTTTTCTGCATAAAACCTTTTACAATGGAGATGTATTTATACTACAAATATTATTATTCATAATCTACAGATAATTGTAACTAGGTTACCATGCACCAATTATTATGTCATCCATCAATTTTATATATATATATATATATATATATATATATATATATATATATATATATATATATATATATATATATATATATATATATATATAGTTAGTTCATTTGAAACATGTCTAATTTTGTGAGACCGCGAGACCATTATTTTTTAGTGAAGTATTCTAATATATTGTTATTCAAAAAAAATATAATATATGTAATATTCTAATATTTTAAAATAATATTGTTAACACATTTTACATTGAAATATTCTAAAAGCATATAGTGTTAGAATATTATACATACTATATTTTTACGATGAGTAGAATATTAGAATATTTTACTAGAAAAAACTGGTCTCACAGTCTCTTAAAATTAGATTCATTTCAAATGAATATATATATATATATATATATATATATATATATATATATATATATATATATATATATATATATATATGTGTGTGTATGTGTCTGTGTGTATGTATGTGTGTGTTTAATGTTCTAAATAACAATGATGGTTTATAAATTTTTATATAAAAATGATGAGGTTTAATAAAACCTAAGTATTTTTTTTATCTTTTAAACTTTTGTAATATATATTATTTTGTCATTAAACATAAATAAGAAATACTAATATTAACTAGTTGAAATTCTTTTTATATTAATTATTAAAGTTAATAAATAAAAAAATTAATGTAATAAAATATAAATAATTTATCTTTAACCAAATTAAGTTGATGACTTCAATTAATCATCATTGAGCTAGCCAATCTCTTATTTGAATCTCACACACTTTAATTTTAAGGTGAACTATCCTTTAAAAAAATTAAGACCTTCAATTATAAGATAATATGGTTATAAAATAAATACATATATAAATATATAAATTATAATAAAACCCTTTATATAGTATGATTTTTCGATACATGGAACAGAAGATATATTATCAAGTCTATGATTATATACATGTATTATGAATTATAACTAAGACCTTAGATCCAACTTATTACTCTCTAGTGCTCATGTGCTTCCATATCCTTTTCCTTAATTGTAATAATGATGTTAAATCAATATATACATGACTAACTTTGAATGGGATGTTCTATTATTCTTACTTCTTTTAGTCAAAAAAACAGTATAATTTCACCTTCATAAATCATAACCGGTTTAGTATGAAGTATGAACACCCGAGTCACGTTTGCCACGGCTTGTTTGTGAATGGAGAGATGCTGCTGACACGGTTGTCAAGACTCAAGAATATAATAATAAATAAAATAAAATAAAAAAATAAACGAGAGAAGGAAGACCAGTTGTTCTTGTTTTTCTTTCTTCGTCTTCTCTCCTCTCTTTGTTACTCTCTCTCTCTCTCTCTCTCTAGACTTTCATCGTCTTTTCGTCGGCGTCAAACCCACCAACGACAGCAACATTCCTCCTTATACTTATCTCCACCATTATCACAATCATCTTTTTACGCTTCTGTAATTATCATCGCAATCGCCAATTGAAAGAGCAAGAAGCAAAACCCTATTCACAATCTGTAAGTTCTTTATCGTGATAAGTTTACTTTGATTTTCATGGATCACTGTTTAATCTTTGGGTTTTTATCCTGCCGATAGTTTTTCCTTCGTTTGACTGTAAAGCATGCTGATTTTAGATGGTTTTCAGCTGTTCAAAGTCGTCGGCTTTTTGGGGTTTGTAGAGATACAATTTTGGCTGATTTTAATTTGGGGATTTTGTGTTTAAGGAGTTAATTGATGTTCTGATGGTGTTGTTAGGAAATTAACTATTTGGAGGGTTGATGATTAGGGTTAACTGAAATGATAGTTAGGGTTTAATTGTCTTCTTCCTATAAGAAGTTTTTTTTTGTTAACGACTTTTGAAATCAAAATCCGTTAATGATCTTTGGTTTTAGTTGAATCATTTGTGTCTTTCAGTGAGTTCATAGTTATGGTCAATTGATGTTTTAACGCCAAGAAGCAAAAATCCAGCTTTTGGTAAAGATTTTTCAGCTATCTTAATTCTTATGTATGAAAAGCATTGGTTTCTGTATGCAAATAAATTGAACTACAACTAAAACACCATTGTCCTTTGTGTTGTGATTATGAATTTGTATCAGGTGACTGGTGGTTTTTATATGTGTTATTAAAGCTTTTATAAATGATTCCTTCTATTTCTAATGTGAAACAATATAGGATTTATTTGATACCTGATTCTAAAGTTCTTTTTTCTGGAGTATTTGAAACAATCCGAATTTTCTATCAAAAAGTTAAATTTATTTTGATTCGATTGGCTTCTTTGGAATCAAAACATATACTTAAAGTTCTATTTCTGGAGTATTTGAAACAATGCAAGTCTTAATTCAAGATATAATAGGATTCTTTAGAATCAAAATGTAAACAAATCCAATTCCATAATTTCGAATGTTCTGTGTCTATACTAAAATTCTATTTCTGGAGTATTTGTAACAATCCAAATTTTTCTTCAAAAAGTTAATGCATTCAGTTTCCTTAGAATCAAAACGTATACAAGTTGCTATAATTTCTAATTCAAACAAGTGTTAACGAATCATTACTTTTTATAATGCAACAAAAATTTGATGCTTTTGAAAGATAGCATTTTTAACACAACAATTGAAACTTCAATAACTGTGCTAAAGACATGTGACCATATATATTATTGCATAATTACCTCTCATTAGCAATGTTGTCTTTATTATTTTTCATGAAAAATTAAGGATCACACTTCACAAAGAAACAAATAATACAACTACTAATTGTTGTTTTCAGGCATCCCACTTGCAAAGATGAGAAAACCCTAGGATCAACCTTATATCCCCCTGAAAAAGGTTTGATGATTATGAATACTTACAAAAAAGGCTAAATGCTATAATCTGGTAGATTTTTCAAAGTATAATGTCTTAATAAGTTAAAAAGAAATAAAATACAATGTTGTAATAGAAAGAAATGAAAGTAGGATACAAACTAACTTATTCATGTGACTTATTTGTGTAGGGTATTTGGTTAAGAGGGGGTATAATTTGACAATTGCCGCATGTTGAAGGGGCAAACTTGAAAAAATGTTGGAAGCTCCAAAGTTCACAGGCATGAATATGATGGGCATAAACAACAACCACCACCATGATAATAATTTCATCGACCTCTCACAAGGCTTCTACCACAAACTCGGCGAAGGGTCAAACATGTCAATCGACAGTTTCAACAGCTTAAACATGAGCCAAAACGGAGGCTCAATCGCCATGTCACTCGACAACTCATCCGTGGGGTCCAACGAATCCCACACGCGTATCCTCAACCACCAAGGCCTCAAACCCATAAAAAATTACACAGACGCCCTTTCGGTCCACAAAGGCCGCGTCTCCCACGGGCTATCCGATGACGCCCTCGCAAGGGCACTTTTGGACACGCGGTTTCCGACCCAAGGACTTGAAAACTTCGATGAATGGACAATCGATCTTCGAAAACTCTCGATGGGTCCCGCATTCGCACAAGGCGCATTTGGGAAGCTGTATAAAGGTAGTTACAATGGTGAAGATGTGGCGATTAAGTTGTTGGAGAAACCGGAGAATGATGTGGAGAGAGGGTTGGTGATGGAACAACAGTTTCAACAAGAGGTGATTATGCTTGCGAGGTTGAAACATGTGAATATTGTGAGGTTTATCGGGGCGTGTAGGAAGCCGAATGTGTGGTGTATTGTGACGGAGTATGCGAAAGGTGGTTCGGTTAGGCAGTTTTTGGCTAGGCGGCAAAATAGGGCGGTGGGGTTGAAACTCGCGGTGAAACAGGCGTTGGATGTGGCCAGAGGGATGGAGTATGTGCACGCGCTTGGGTTGATTCATCGCGATTTGAAAAGTGATAATTTGTTGATTTCGGCTGATAAAAGTATTAAGATTGCGGATTTTGGAGTTGCGAGGATCGAGGTGCAGACCGAAGGGATGACGCCTGAGACCGGGACCTACCGTTGGATGGCTCCGTAAGTCACTCACTCATCTAACCTTTTATAGTATGTCTGGCAGACTACCTGATAGCTGAAAGACTAGCTGATAGCTGAAAAGCTAGGCGTTTGAAATACATAAAACATCATGTTTTAACCTAACTATCACTCATCATTGTAGAGCATTTCATTGTATAAGTTTTGAGTATGAAAAGCTAGTCGCTTAAAAAATGACGATTGGTAAAACTAGTTGAAATACGTAAAATGTCGTATTTTAACGTAACTATCACTCATCATTGTAGAGCATTTCCTTGTATAATTTTTGAGTTAATACAGAAAGAGTGAATGATGAATTGTAATTTTCAGGGAAATGATACAACACAGGCCATATACGCAAAAAGTAGATGTGTATAGCTTTGGGATTGTTCTGTGGGAACTGATAACTGGAATGCTGCCATTTCAAAACATGACGGCTGTACAGGCGGCATTTGCGGTGGTGAACAAAGGTGTCAGGCCGACCATCCCGCCGGACTGCCTGCCGGTGCTTGGAGAAATCATGGTCCGCTGCTGGGACGGGAACTCAGATGCCCGGCCGCCATTCACGGAGGTGGTTAGAATGCTTGAACATGCTGAAAATGATATCATGACAACTGTCAGAAAGGCGCGTTTCAGATGCTGCATTAGTCAACCGATGACCACTGATTGATGATGATGATGATGATGTGTTGTAAAGGTAAAGAAAATGAAATGAGAAAGAATGATGGTTTTTATTTATGGCATCTATGTGTATGTATGTTACTGTTTTCAGGGTAATTTCTTTCTTTTTTTTTTAAGATAGGGTGAAAAAAGGAAGAAAATTATGATGATATGGATTACTTACTATTACTACTGTTACTTCTTGTTTTTGTGGATTTTCTTTTTTCTCTTTGTTGTTGAATGTTTATGGATTTGTGTTGATGAATTAGTAGTAATGAAGGAGAATTGTGTTGTATTTATTTATATATATAGTGTTGGAATATTTGTTAGATATTCGGTATTGGTTATTTAATTATCTAATACATAAATAAATGTTTGTTTTTTAAATATAGTTAAAGTATCAACATTTTAAATATGATATTAAAGTTTCCAAACAACGAAAGTTCTTTTACAAATTATGAAGAAGACATCGGCATGATAAATTTATAGGTCGTTAAATAATGAGATAATTGATTTTTCTAGCACGGTTAGTATGCTGAAGTGAGAGAGCCCACGACATGGGTTACCGAGGAAAGAGAAGGTCAAACGACTATTTTTTTCTTTTTCTCATTATCAAACCATTATAAATACTAAGATATCCCACCAAATTACATCACACTAAATCTTTCTTCTAGAAAATGTCTTCATCATCATCACATCTTTTTCCCGTACTTTCGACTTCATGCTACAAGCAACAGTCACCGTTGCTAATTTGTTGCAACAAGAATTAGACGAGGAAGCAAGAAATTTGCAACACAGGCGAAGAAGATATACAGAGAGATCTTCAAACTATCCACAAACATCTGATGCATGATTCTTTTGACAAACATTCTAATTTTCATTGATATTTTTTCTTATATCGGTTGCGAATGCACAAACATTTGTTTCACAATATAGTAGAAGATGTGACAGCAACTTGCAAATTTTTTCAACGTCTAGGTGCGAGTGGTTGGTACAGTATGATTTCATCCATTACAAATGCACAACTATACTTTGCATGTACCATTTATTATGGGTTAAAACCCTGAATATTGTTTATGGTTGTCTTTGGGTTTTGATTAGTGTGAGGAGCCGTGTTAGCAAAAGCTCGAGTGTGTGATTTAGTCATCTTCAGTTAGAGATGAGTCTTCTCACCGTGTTTGTGGGTCGAAGGTACCAATCTTGGACTACCAGATTATTTATGTAGGATGCTAGTTGTTATAGGACTTTTACATGTTTGTATGATTGGGTTGAAAATAGACCCTATGGTTAGGCTTATTATTGTATGATTGGGTTGAAATAAACCCTAGGGATGAGCCCATGAGTATATGATGGGTTGGAGCAAGGTTCTAAAAAGCTTGTCATGGCTCCGCCATGGCGCGCCATAGTTCCAAGGCTTGTATGTGCCGCCAAGCTTTATCAAAACACCGTCTTGACTCATATATGTATATAAAAATAAATAATAGTTAAAAATACATATAAAAATATGAATTATATACAAAATTATCACCTTAAGTCATGTCTTACAAATGACGTGACTCGCCAAGGCTCGGAAAAGCTTTAGGCTTGACATTGCCGCCAAGTCACGCCTTACGTTATTTAGAACATTGGTTGGAAGAAACCCCAGGACTGGGCCCATATTTGCATATTAGATTGGAATATACCCTATGGCTAGGCCGAGTTGTATGTTTGGTATGTAGTACTTTAGGTACTTTTGGTTCGAATGGGAAGGATCTGACGTGATGACACAACATTATCCTCTCATTATTGCTACACTTTTTGGATATTTGTATTCTAATATTTTGATATTGTACTTGGTTAAAGACTTTGAGATATTCGGTGAATGAAATTATTGGTTTTTAAAAAAATGAAAAATTTTATTACTGTATTTGGGTTGTTACATATTATTTGTCTATTTTAAATGTCAACTTTAAAATGTAATATATATTTTATAGTTTAGTTTACCACTTTGTTATGTCTAATGAACTTACCATTTTTATCTTTTTTCTTAATATATATTACATATATTTTTTTATTCTACCCCTTGACTTTGATTTTGATACTGCATCACAACCGAAGATGTACAACCGAGTTGCACATAAACTTCACATAACCCATAGTTGAGTAATGCAACTATGGGAACAATATGCATAGAAACATGTTTTTCTTGTGTTTAAAGGGGTGTTTAGCTAAATTTATTAATGATTTATTTTCGAACTTATTTTTTATAAGCTCATTCTAGTTTATTTTTCATGAGCTTGGTTTATTTTCTTAATGTAAATCATAATAAGCTCTTAAGTTGTAAAATAAATCAAAACAATCGGCTGACAAAAAATAAGCAGCCCTTAATAAATTCAGCCAAACACCCCTAAATTCCAAGTTCAAGTAATTACTTTCATAGTCATACAAACTTACAAAGGAGAACAAATAGGAAATAGACTCCATGATCTTAAGACTATTAACGCAGTTCACTTAACTAACCGAAACAAATTACTTAATTTAATGCAGTAAAACAAAAGAGACACGTTATGTTGCTGCTTACTTTAACAAATTTTATCGAATATATATTAATCGATTAAAATATTAATAATGTAAATGAGCAGGATAGTCATTTGATTTAAGTTAATAAAAAACACAAACTATCTGCCATCATCATTTTATTTTTTTATTTGTTTTAATTTCTGCTTTTAGATAATTCATATTCTTAAATTTGAAGGGATATACGAAAGTAACGAAACAGTGCTGATGTATGGGTAAGCACAGCTTCGTCAGTTGTAATTTAGAACACTTTGATCTCGAAAAGAGAAAAGAAATGACCTGATTTAAGAATTAAGATACGATATACGGAAAGTTGAAAAGGGAATTATGCTCGAATCTCGAATGGTGGCTGCAAAATCCATGAAAGCGTTGGCTTGCGTGCTTCCAAACTCTCTTTCGCAGCGACAATGACGGCTTTTCGATCTCAATCACTGCCATAAATCATGCAATTCTCAATTCTGTCTTTTCACAGAGTTAATGTTGATGGATTCATGAGAAATTCAATTTCGTAGTGAGGAGGAGATAAATCGATGGATATATCGAGTGTTGCTGTCAGTTCGTATGGGATTCTCCCAGCCAAAATATCAGATTGCTTCACTGTTTCAATTGGAAAGAGGAAGAACAGTAACAACAACAAGTTTTTATTTGGGTTCTCAAATCGGTCTTCACTCAATCTCAAAATTCAAGCAATTCATCTGGACGAGGTAACAATCATCTCATATGTTGTTCTTTTCCCTTCCAAAAAATGTATTTCCCCGAATTTTTTAACACATTGGGTGATCAAATGCTTCATCCTTCAAGCTTGAAATGGATCTGGTTTATCATGCTTGCTCTCTATAATGGTTGTTTCCATGAAGTAGCAAAGAAGCCTTCAAAAAGTTTTCATGTTCAAATTTTCAGTTATTGAATTTTATTGTAACATGACACCAAGTAGACCGACTATAACATGATCTTAATCAGGGGCTAGTGGTTTAAGGCTTTGGGACTTCAAAATAGTTTCCTTACTAATGATAGCTTGACATAATCATCACAAATCTGTAATCTACGTATAATTGTGGCTAATCCTCCATTATGCAACAAGTAGCAACATAATGTCAATTATTTGTGGAGTATTAAAGTATATCATCCTACTTTCATTTCTTTCCATTACAACATTGTACTTCTAAAAACTACCTAATTACAGCATTGTATTCAATCTTTTTTTCAACATTATACTTCAAAGAATCTACCCAATTATAGCATTGAAAATTGCTTTGTATTTGGATGCCATTGTTATAATCAGGTAGATTTTTCTAAGTACAAGAACTGAAAGTAGGATACTATAATAAACAAATCAATAAAAGATCATTGCCATTCTTGCATTTATCCCATCTCCTACTCTAAACCATGAACATTCACATATTCTTTCTTACTTGACAATATTTCTGTTATTTATTAAAAGCTCTCATGATTGTTATACACATATGAAAGGTGGCTGCTGACAATCCAAATTCTTTAACTAATACAAGACTAAAAGACATTGATTGGCCATCTCCAAGTGACAAAATCCCATTCTGGAAAAGGGAATTCCAGACATGGGATTCCAATTCCAAAGTTCCTGTCAACACAGAGAAAGACTCTGATCTTTTGCATGTTATTCATGTAACTGCTGAAATGGCACCAATAGCAAAAGTTGGTGGACTTGGTGATGTAGTAACTGGGCTATCTCGTGCATGTTTGTCACGTGGACATAAAGTTGACATTATGCTTCCTTTCTATGAGTGCATTCAGAAACAGAATATCCAAGAATTGTCACTAATCTCTACTTACAATTCATATCATGATGGAAACTGGATTGAAACCAATGCATACTCTGGAATGGTATCTGGCATTCCAGTTATACTTTTGGAACCAATGAACCAATTCTTTAAAGGGGAAGATGTATATGGAGGCTCTTACAATGAATTGGAGGCTTTTTTGTTTTTCAGTCGAGCTTGCCTTGAATGGATGCAGGTTTGTACCTTACTCTTCATCAACTTATTTATATAATTGTGCTTAAGAAGATAATTTGTTAAACCTTTTTTTTTTATTATTTCCATGTTTTCCATCATCAAACTATCTTCTATGATTCTTTTTTAAGAATCCATTGACCAAAATGCAGGTAACTGGAACACAACCTGATGTCATACATGTCCATGAATGGCAGACAGGTGTACTTCCACTCCTCTATTGGGACATTTATCATCATCTTTCACTTCAGGCATGATCTTAGTTTAAGGATATTTCTTTCTTTAAGATCTTTAAAAGTATTCATTAACTCATAATATTGAAATTTTTTGTACTTTATAGAAACCAAGAATAGTATTGACAATCCATAACATGGAACATTATGGGGAGTGCAGGTATTCTTGTAAATTGTAATTTCTCATCTTTTTGGTATTTTGTAATTTGTAGACAAGTAATCTGTTTTTTTTTTTTTGTGTAATTTACTTGTGTATACTTATGATATGATTTTTCAGACAAGATCAGCTCCAAAAGTGTGGTCTTGATGGATCTTTATATGCAACTATTGACAAAGTAAGTCATAATATTAATATTTTGTGTTGTGTAATTGTTATAGGTACTTAAACAAATCAATAAAATCACATTGTTCATTCTTGTATTGATCCCTTGTTTTAACTATATAATTATTGGAGAAAAAATGAATCTTTTTCTTTTCTTTTGTGTGAAATTTTCAATTTAACAGGCGATTGATGATAGAACCATTGGCCATAATCCTGAGAGGCTAAGTTTATTGAAAGGTGGCATTGTATACAGCAATTCAGTAGTGTAAGTTATCTGAAATCTTACACATTCCATTAAATTTCATTAAAACAATAAATAACATTGTGTTTGTTTTAACTTTTCTCTTTCAATTTACTTCTTATTCTTCATTTATGCCCTTGAAAAATAGAATAAATTATTTAAAAAAAAAAAGTGATTCTTGTTTCTTTTTCCAGTACAGTTTCTCCAACTTACCTTAAAGAAACACTGTGTTCTGGATGGCTTTCAAGTGCTTTGATGACAAATCATTACAAGTAAACTCAATTTTATTGTTTTCTTATTATAGCAGTGAAAATTGTTTTGTAATTGGATGAGATTTCTATAATTGGGAAGTTTTTTCAATTTTCTAATAAACAAATGAATGAAAGTACATTGCTATTTAATCTTGAGTTGTAGGTACTATGGTATTCTTAATGGGATTGATACTGATATGTGGAATCCTGCTTCTGATGTTTTCTTACCTACCAACTATCATGGTAACATTCAACATTATTTTTGTGTTTTCTTCAACAAATCTAATGAAAACTTCATTTACCAAATTTTATTTTTTTGACACTATTTTTCAGCTCAAAACACTGGTGGAAAGAAAGTATGCAAGAAATATCTCCAAAGGGGATTTGGTTTGATTCTAGAAGGGTGTGAAAGAGTGCCTTTAGTTGTTTGCATTTCTCGTTTAGTTGCTCAAAAAGGTCTTCATCTAATTAGACATGCCATCAATCATATTCAAGAAATTGTAAGTTGCTTGAAATGTTATTTTTATATATAACATCCATATTCAGCATTTAATGAAAGAAACATTCAGATTAGGGTTTCTAATTTCTTCTTTTTTACAGGGTGGACAAATGATTGTTCTTGGAAAAGCTCCAGATAGTAGGGTTCAAAGAGAATTTGAAGCTCTAGCTGATTTGGTAATTTTGTATTATATCTGATAATGAGGGTATTTGGTCTTTTAGTAAAAAAAAAAAAAAAAAAAGGAAGAATGGAATTAAATTCCTTCCACCCTCCCCTAGAAAAGTAGAAATCCATCAACACCTATTAAAAGAGGAATACTTGTATATATATATATATATATATATATATATATATATATATATATATATATATATATATATATATATATATATATATATATATATTTTTCTGCTTTTTAATAAATTCCTACAAACTAAACATCACTTATTGATTATTTCTCTTTTGTAGCATAACAAAGGTTCAACAATTCGCATACTCTTAATGTACAGGTGAATATCTCATCCATAAATTTCTAGATACATAAAATCGATTTACTCACTAATTTAATCATTGTACTTTTATTTTATCGTTTAAACAAATCATTTTTCCTAAACTACATAAAAGTACAACGTACATTTTATTTATCGTTTTAGCCATTTAACTATTACAATGATAATAATCATATAAAAAAATCAATAGTATATATTTTATGATAAAATGTGTGTGTGTGTGTGTGGCAATTGCAGTGAGGAGTTGTCACACATGCTGTATGCAGGTGGTGACATGGTGTTGGTTCCTTCAATATATGAGCCATGTGGCCTAGCTCAGATGATTGGAATGCGTTATGGATCAGTATATATTTTCTCTCCAAAATATCCTATTTATTTATTTATTTTTATATAATCACTTTTATTTTATTTTTTTAATATTCAGGTACCGATAGTAAGAAAAACTGGTGGTCTTGCTGACACTGTTTTTGATATGGATGATGAGTCGCATCCCGAGGTGGCCAACGGGTAATCATTTTGATTATTAAACTTTAATTATTTTACAAAAAAAGGGAAAATTGTGATAAATAGTCATTTATTGTTATTATCAGTAAAGAATTGTAATTACATTGCTACTATACGCAGTCATTGCTACTATTCTCTTTTTAATATTTTTTTTTTTTTTTTTCATTTTTAAGGTTTGTCTTTGAAGGAATTGATGAAGGCTCCCTAAGTTGTGCTCTTGATCGAGCATTTTCGTATTACCTAGAAAGTAAGGCCATGTTACTTTTTGTTTGGATAAATAATGTTGAAAAAACATTTGAGAAAATCACGTAAAACTTGGGTTAAATGGAAAAAAAGTTGGTGTTCAGTTCTATTAAATCGTTATTTATATTTATATAGAAAAAAGAAACGCTTATACTGTTATACATACGGGATTGATGCAGAAACGATTGAGTGGGAGAATATCGTTCAAAGAGTTATGCAAATCGATAACAGCTGGAACAAAACAGCTGGCAAGTACATTGATGTATACAACTCCATAAGAGTGAGATAGTGAAATGTCAAAATTGCCCCTCGTTGTCGTTCTCAGTTCTTTTCCTTTGATATGTACATGGCTTCTTTGCCATGTTCGATTATAGTGTACAAATTTACTATATTTAAAGTTCTTAATATGATTTTAAATCTTATTGTTTGAGTACCTAAACTTATTTAGGTACCTTTGGTTTCTCATTCATGCAAAAGACGAGAATGCCCCTCATTCTCAAAATAACCTTAACTATCAATCATGCAAACGACGTAAATACCCTCATTGTCATCATTAAAATAAAGCAACACACAAAAAGTGCCAAAAGTTGGCTTTGCTAGCATAATATATTTTCATTAATTCTTTTACTTTAGAAATTGTACACTTTTGAGGAGCAACTCAATAACCACCACCACCACCACCACCCTCCAGCAAATAAACCAAAAAACTTAAAACTACATATCCTTCTCTCTCACCACCACCACCTACCCTTTTAGAAACAAGAAGGGGTGACAAATTACAAGGTTGCCCAAAAGTCAAACAGAGTCAAACTCCCATACCCCACTCCCTCTCAGAAACACCGAAAAATTACCATATTTTACTAAAACAATTTACGGGTCAGAGTAGTTTCAACTTTTACCACTTCCGGGAGTATAAAAGAACCGATTTACTATTTTTTTTTTTTTTACTGTATTTCCGTCTTCTCATCCACATGGAGGGAGTCTGCAACTTTATCAGCAAGTTGAGTTATTGAAGTATCATTGACATTGAGGGTGTTTTTGGTAAATTCACGATCTTTTGACCTCTTTTCCTGCAAATCCTTCTCTCGTTCATCATAGAAACCAAAATCATCCAAGATCGATGTCTCTGCATCATGATCTTTAAAGATCTTCAACATTGCAATCCCCACTTCTAGTTTCACCTACACATAGTAGTAGACCAAATTAGACCAATCAAAAAAATACAAAACACATTAAACATACATCCACAAAAGGGTATTTACGTCCTTTCCCACCTCTTGTGAATCTCTGCTATGAGTAACAGGTTTGTTGTCATTATTTTCAAGAAGAATATGTCGGAATCGGCTATTTGGAACATCTTTGATGATATGCCATTTCACACGGAATTGGCCACTCCACCTGTCCTGCTGCCAATACTCTGCATCATTCACAAAATCTACGGGTCCCACCATTTCTGCCACTCCACAAAACTGTCCACTTGCATTTACCTACAAATTTTTTCATCACAATAATTCAAAAAATCATTCCTAATATCAAGGAATGGAATGGAATGGAATGGAATTCATGATTCCAGGGTTGAAATGAAAACTCACAGAAAAGAAGAGGAAGACTGGACAATCGGCTTCAGATTCCTTTGCTTCTTGATAAGCAGCATCAAGTTTTCTGTTTCCCAAAGGGGTACTTGCCCAAACACTATACTTGATACTTTTATGGACATTGTCTTCACTAAAAGACTTTATTACAAAGAATTTAGCATTCTCATAACTCGTGACAAAATCCGGTTGATTGTAAAGGTCGATTTTACCCTCGGGAGATAATATCTGCTCTCCTTTTGCCTTTGACGCCCTCGGTCCCCTGTTTCGATCACTGGTAGTACCATGTGGTTCATTAATCATGCTAATTCCATCTTTGTCCCTATGTTTCCCGCCTTTTTCAGGGATGAATCGGTTCAGGCGACTTGCTTCCCCTTGAAAAATGGAATTGTTTCCATAGTTTTGCCCTCGTAAAGATCCACTTTGTGGGAAGCGTCTTGTGGAGGATCCGGATCCGGATACTGACCCGTATCCGTATCCATATCCATACTGCTGTTGCGGAATCTGGAAATTAAGTAAATAAAAATTTTCATTACTTTGTAATGAAATACATATACTAATGAAGTAAAGGGTAAAAAGAATTAAAGAAGAAACAAACCTGACTAAAAATGTGTTCATAAGACCCAAGAATACCAAGTGGAGCAGGGTATAAACCCCCAGATGTGATTGGAGACACAAAGCTACTAGTATCTGAAGACATTGATTCATTAGACCCAATGTCTCCTGGATATTTATAATATCCAAAATTGTTATTTCCAGAAGGGTTTCCATTCACATTCACATTCCCACCACCAAAAGAACCATATTGTAAATAATAACCTGATCCTGGACTTGGAGCCATAAAAACATTGTCTCCAAGACCCTCTTGCATTTGCATCCCACTGTTTGGTGATGGTGAAAGATCGGTTTGAGGTAAGTTAGGAGAAACAGGCTGTGAGTAGTAAGAAGGAGAGATTGGAACTTGATGAGGTGAAAACAGCTGTCCATCTATCATTATTGGAGACATGGGACTAGCAACAGGAGAAAACTGGCTGTAATCGAATCCATATGCAGGGTGAAATAATAGTGATGCATTGTCATTGTAAATTGTCTGCATTAACTCAACAAAATAAGAAACTATATTCATGCATGAATGTGAGGCCTCAAGTTCAAGCCCAGTCATCACCTTCATTGCTCTTCGGACATTGTGATTCACCTCTCACATGTTGGTTGTGTGACCTGTTGGTGAGGGTGCCAAGGTGGCATAGACCCTTAATAGGTAACAGGGGTATACGCCTAATAGGCAAAAAGGGTTATATGCCACCATGGCGCCCTCACCAATGGGCCCCACAACCAACATGTGACAGGTGAATCACAATGTCCGAAGAGCAATGAAGATGATGACTAGGCTTGAAGTTGAGACCTCGCTTATTGATGAAAAGAAAAGAGTATTTGATTTCTCACCGGAGGCACAATCTGCAAGTTATTAGTATGAACATAATTAGAATAGTCTCCCCAGTTAGCTGAGCCATCATCATAACCTGAAAAGTCGAAATTGGGATGAAAATGTTGTGAGAGGATTGATGAAACAAGAAAAAGAAAGGGATATTAATATTACCATAGTTAAAGCAGACTAACCTCCATAAAAGTAGGTTTGCTCAGGAGGAGCAAAAATATTGGATGGATTTACAGGGGTTGGAGCTCCACTTGCATTCAATGGTTCTGATTGGTTGGATATATTTCTCATGGACCCTGTGAGGGCTGCATCTGGAGAAGGATTTGGAGAAACAATCCTTTCATCTTTGGGAGAAAGTGGCTGATTATACAAATAAAGAACTAATGAAAAACGTATATGAAAGGGGGAATTAAGATAAATAGAATTGAATAGCCAACAAGTACCTTATCCATGTAGTTATCAGGCACAAGCCCATCACCTGAAAAAAGTTTCATAATTGTAGAGGAATTAGTCATGCCTTTTGAAATCGGGGTAAAACAAGACTCGGTATGAGGGTACCAAAGTCAATATCACAATGCAGTGATCCAATGGTCGATGAAATATGGAAATACATTTTGAGATACTGCATGCAATAGCTTCGAAGATTGGCTAAATCGCTAATTGATTCAAAATCGAAGTGTATCCATAAATTTGAAGAGGATATGAAGCTTAACCAATGAAAAAGGGCCACATTACAATGAACCTTGTTTTTTAGGTCTAGAATAAACTAGGCGTAAGATCCGATCCCAAAACAAAGATCTATTCGGACTCAAACTTCTACTGAACTCCAAATTTCACCGGATCAATCAACATCAAATCGTAAAAACAAATCCCTAATTCATGGTTAAAACATATGAAATCAATGAGTAGAAACCCTAGATTCCCAAATCCTATAGAACGAACAAAAAAAAAAAGAGAGAAGTTCGCATACACAAAGTAAAATTCACGATCCTAAATAATCTATATTGCGAAAGTCATCAATAACGCAAACAACATAACAACAATGTTGCAGATTATAGCGAAATCGACAGTTTTTCCCCAAATTAACACAGACGAATTTCGCATCGCATTATTACTAGATGAATACGAAGAATTTCGTAAATAAGCAAAGAATACATCTCACCATGTAAGGGCAAAGCTGAGATTGAAGCAGGAGAGACTCGATCTTTTCCCTGTTGACCTTTTTCTTCCATGATTTTTTGGGAACTCCTCAAATCAAATCAATAATATTAAAAATTCTTGAAAAAACCAATGAAAACAAAATCGGAAAAATCAAAGATTGAATAATCAAATTCGAATTCCTCATATCATCATCACTAGAGATTAAAATTATTAAGGAATATCGAAGAAATTAAAAATTGAAAGGGTTTTAGGTCGTATATATAGATACAACTTTATATATAACACACACATGTACACGTACTTGTGCGTGTGTGCATCTGGAGTAGCATTACGAAACTTCTTTCCCTTTTCCTTTTATATGTTATTTTATTTGTCTTTTGTCTTGTTTATCATGGAGTATTTAATTGTTTTAAAAGACTTTTTTTTTTCAATATCCGATTATTATTTTGTTTTTAAAAAATTTATAAAAATAACTATGTATTTTAAGTTTTTTTCTAAAAATAAACAAAAATTTTAAAAATATCAATGCAAAATAAGGTAAGACATTATAAAATGGTAAAAATAAAAACAAAAAAAAAAAATCATTTTATTATGAAAAAATTACAAAATAAGTCTAAACTCTTAATTACTTTGTAAAAAAAAAAAAAAAAAAAAAAAAAAAAAAAAAAAAAAAAAAAAAAACCTCAAATTACAAAAATAGTCATCAAAATCGCAGATGGATTAAGCTCACCTGCAATTTTACATTTCCATATGCAACGTACAAGTCGCTAAAGCATATTCATGTTTTACCAACATGTACGTTCGCAAATAGATTCAGTCCATCTACAATTTCCCCTATTTCAGGGGTATAAAAACGTTTTTTTTTCCTTTTATTTTTCAAACTTTTTGTGGAGAATTCTCTCTCTAAATACACTATAGATGATTTCATGAATAATCCCGACAATATGGTAAGATCTTTACGCATTTTGTATTTTAATCATCATTTATCAATTTTAGACTTTGTTTATTTATGATTTGTTGGAAAAAAAATTGAAAAAAAAAAAAAAAAATCTAAAGTGTTGCTCATCCAATTTTCTTAGATCTATGTATTATATTTGATATTTACAAGATTTGATAAGTATCCTTGAAGTTTTGATAGCATTTCATAATTGGATCTATAATTGTAGTGCATAATGCGTAAATCATGCATTGTGATGTACATTTGGTACTTTTGTGTTAATATGTTATATAAATGTGTTAATATGTTGTAATAATCTGATTTTTTTATATAAAAAATGATTTTTGCTACTTCATGGTATTGTATCTTTGCATTTGTGAGGTTGTATATATAGGTTATGCTATAAAAATGCATTTTTGATGGTATTATTATGTTATAAATATTTATTTTTTGATGTTATAAATATGCTTATATTTGTATTTTAGAAATATCATTTATATACAATCGGTTTACTTGTTATGGTTTATATACATTCTTTTACTTGTTATGGTTTATATACATTCGGTTCGAGATGCAAGATTCTAAGAAAGGTTTTGCTACCTATGCAACATGGCATCAAATTAAGTAAAACTCAATGTCATAGCTCTAGTGATGAACATGAAAGAACAAGTCGAGTCCCATATGCTTCTGCTATAGATCAATCATGTATGTCATGACATCTACTCGACCTGACGTCTCATTTGCTCTGAGCATGATGAGTCGTTTTCAAGACAACCTAGGTGACAGTTATTGGACAACAGTAATGAACATTTTAAAATACCTAAGAAGAACAAAGAACATGTACTTGGTGTATGGGGGTAAAGATGCGTTGAGAGTTACAGGTTATACAGATGCGAGTTTCCAAACTGATAGGGACAATTCTTGTTCGCAGTCAAGATGGTTATTCTTGCTTAATGGAGGAGCGGTCACTTGGAAAAGTTTGAAGCAGTCGACATTGGCAAACTCTATGTGCAAGTCAGAGTATATAGCGGCTAGTGAAGCTGTAAAAGATGCTGCATGGTTGAAAATTTTCATTAATGATCTTGGTGTCATTCCAAGCATCAAGGATCCTTTGGAAATCTTCTGTGACAACGAGGGTGCAGTCACTTTGACTAAAGAACCCAATGACCATAGTAACTCAAGGCATAACTTAGGAAATTCCATTATGTGAGGCATTAAGTCGAGGATGGAGATATTATCGTGAATGGGGTATCGCCATAGGAGAATCCAGCCGATCTGTTCACAAAGTCATTATCAAGGAACAAACATGATAGTTGTAACATCCCAAAAATTCATACCCAAAAATTTCATTTTAAACCATTAAATAAAACCATAGTTATCAAACCATTCCATCAAAACATGAGTCAAAGTATTTCAAAACATTATTATCAGAGTTTCCAAATCAAAACATCATATTAAACATCCCATGCTAAACATCATAGTGTGTGCAATACAGTCATCTCGAGCTCTTCTCTTTGCAACTGGAAGTACCTGAAACCAAAACTGAAAACCGTAAGCATGAAGCTTAGTGAGTTCCCCATACTACCACATATCATACACATAATCACATATATTGGGCCTTCGCCCCTTCATCGGGCCCCGTCCGGCATCAGGCTCTGTCTGGCATCAAGACCCGCCTGGCATCGATCCCCGCTCGGTATACAGATATGTTTATCCCAGGCCCTGGGCCTTGCCCTCTATACATATACGATCAAAATCACATAATCATGCTAGCACATTGTCACACCCCCAAACCGAAATGGCGAAAACGTTCGGGGGTGGATGACGTCATGTGTAGTATCACAACAATTGCATCATAATAATCAAAGTAAACACAACCATTACAATATAATATGAATATTTACATTTGTTTGTTTCATTGTTTGTATACATCAAAAGTAGCAAAAATATAAAGACGAGACTCTGAATGCTCCGCCTTGTCAAAAGTCTGCGAGAGTACCTATCTACTGATGTCCTGAGAATATAAGCGATTTTGAAAACGTATGAGCATAAAGCTGGTGAGTTCATAAGAATGTTTTGTAGTGAAACCCGTTAATGAATTTGAAAAATGTATGCATGTTTCCCAAGAAAATCCAATATTTTCTAAGATGTTTGTTCATTACTATATGTATAGTATGTTCTGTTTGAAAACCCTTGATACCACCAATATGTAGTGTATGTTCTGTTTGAAAACCCTTTCTACCACCAGTATGTATAGTAGTTGTACTAATTAAAATAAAACCGAGTAATGTATCTCTGGCAAGGTTCTAAATGGCGTGAGGCGTGGCGTGGCGGCAAGGCCAAGCCTCAAGCTTAACGAGCCATGGCGTTTTTCAAGGCGTGATGTAAGGCGGGAATTTTGTATTAATTTAAAATTATATTACCACATAGATATAAATTTATATTAAATATAACTACTTTTAGCAATATTAGTTCAATAACTAATAACAAAAAGTTAACAACAACCAAAATACTTGTATCTCCGATTAGAAAAGACATAACAAATAGCAAAAAACTGTATCTCAAACCAAAAGACACACGCCATAACACGCCATCACGCGCCATGGCGCGTCATATCGCGCATTGCTACACGCCACGCCTAACACCAATGTTATGAGGCTTTTCGTAACGGCGAAGCCACGCCTCACGCCATGGCGCACCTTTTAGAACACTGATCCCTAGAATCCTCCAATGTAATGTATGGTAGTTTTATTAACTAAAATAAGACTAATGAAGAATAAAATCCCGTAAAAAAAATGTTATTTTATACTATTGTGAGTTCGTATAACCATGCTTGATATTACTTATGACCTCAATGACGTTTCTTCAGGCATCGTACGGTATGATATTTATCATCTCAGGCATGTCTGCCTAACTGTAGCTAGCAGTTTAGGTGTGGGATTGTGAGTCCTAAATAGATCTATTCACAAATCTCACGCTCTCCCTCCAGGAGACTCTAACTATACTAAATGTTGAGGATTTAACTAGTACCCCGAAGGGTCCAAATGAAGAGATGTCTCACAATCCTATATTAACGTGTTGTTCTGTATCGTGTTCTCGTAATTGAAACCATTTTTATGCTTGGTAGAGTATAAATAGTTCGCAAACTAATTATTTAGTGTTATACTCTTGTTATCTGAATGTAATAATGGATATTGTAAACTAATATGTCATAGTTTATGTGATTGACCAAGAAAGTAGTTTGTATTGGTAAAACTGGTAATGAATTCCCCAAACTATACCTATTATAGTTTGACTGAAATGTTATGTTCGTGAATTGTTCTGAAAACTATACAATTATGTTTAGAAAACGTCCATTATGCTCCGCATAATACAAACGGGATAAAAATGTCTATATATTTTATGGAAATATTTGGATTGTATAAATTGCATAAGTTTTAAACTGGTTGAAAACCTTTTGTTTTAGTTCACAAAATCATTTGTGTTTTGCTTGTATTCCCCCATGAAAACGATTAAAAACTTATAGAAACGTAGGGGTATGAAATCACTATTAGTAGTGTGCAAACGTCGATTGGAAATGAAGATCCTCGAGTTGTTGTACGTGGTACTTTAACGGAATCCTAATATCAAATAAATACATATATGTATCTAAATTAGCGATTTCGTTAGATAAAGTGTTAGAAAAACACTTGCTTTCGGTTAAGGAATGTTACCGTGACTTGATTGAATCAAGAAAACGATTTTTTCACCACTAAAGAGGTGTGTACGGCCGTGAACAGGGTTTACGGCCGTGAACTGTCTTTCGAAGGGTTTACAGCCTTTTGAAGGTTTGAAGTGTTTACGACCGTAAACTCAAGAACAAGGGTGTTTGATTTCGAATAAAACGTGTTCCAAATGCTCCAAATCAACCCCAAATGAATATTTTTGATGTTTTTCGGAAGAAAGAGGCGTTTTTGGTGTTTACGATGAGGGGTTCTAGAGAGAGAATGAGAGAGTTTTCGGCCAAGAAGGTTCAAAAGAAGGTGGGGGTCCGGTACTTATAGGTTGGGGGTATGGTCGGTGGTGGGGTCCACCTGATACCAACCGTACACGAGTTTACGACTGTAAACAGATGTACGGACGTAAACAGGTATATGGCCGTAAACAGGTGTATGGTCGTACACCCACCTATGGCGAAAACTATTAGATTTTGAGGCTTTTCGGGTTTTTTGCGCGACTTTTGGTTCCGACTCGTATAAAATTTTCCCAAACCAAGAAATTTGACACAAATCCAAACAAATTCAAAATTTATTAACGGGAATCGGTTAAATGATAACGGAAAAAGTTTCAGGTTGTCACACACATAAAGAAAACATACGCAGTACTATCCGTTCCAGTTCTAAGGCCTCGCCTATCATGGGCCCCGCCCC